GGGGGGCCGGATCCGGGGGCGGGGAGGCCCTCGAGGGCGGGCGCCCCAGGGATCCTTTGTTGGGCGATCGCCCCCCAGAAGGCCCGGGTCCGCGCCTCCCCGGCCCGGGGGGGACCCTGCCCCTATCCCGGGACCCCCGCGCCCCTGCCCCCTCGCAGGGCCCCGAGTTCTGCGGCTGTTTTCACCTCCAAAGAAACTTTCCCGGACCTCTCTGCTGCTGCGACGCTCCAACCAACCGCCGGGAGCCCGCCCCTGCCGTCCGCTCCGCCCCGCCCCGCCCCCGGCATGCTAATGACGGCTCGGCGAGAGCTCGGATTGGGTATGCCCTTCCCCTGGGGCGTGACCATGCAGATAAAGGTAGGCGCGCCCGCCGGTGATTGGCTGGGGAGTCCGCTGAGCCGCGTGGGAGGTGAGAAGAGAAGGCTGCAGGCGGGTGCGTCAAGTTCGGCTGCGCTCGGCCGCTCTCGGGACCAATCAGGATGCTTTGAGGCATCGTCAGGCGGAGCCTCTTAAAGGGCTAGTAGGCGCAACGCAGACTCTTCCTCCTTAGATGAAGGCAAGATTCCCCGCCCCTGCCGGATCCCGAGACCCGGTAGGGCCGAGTCGGGCCCCGCCCTAGTTGCCATGGGGACGGCGGCAGGTTGCTAGGGAAGAGGTTAAGATCTTTCGGAGCAGGCCCTTGCACCAAGGCAAGGTGGGTTAGCAAGCCTTGGGGAAGTTTCCCATTTATTGACTGGATTTAGAGCCCCGGAAGTCCCCGCCATGTCCCGCCCTGCTCTGAGCCCGGGGCTTCTGGATGCAGGGTATACTGCATCCAGTGCGGGGGCCTAGGCTTTCCCTTCTGTGCAATGGAGACTTTGTACGATGTCCAGGACCTGAAGGCTGGGATGCTGCGAAGCTGAGACCCGGAGCTGGGCCACCAGCATTTGGGAAAATGTGGCGGGAACAGGAAGGCTGCAAGGACCTCGTGAATGTGGAGGGCGAGGAACCGCTGTCCTAGGATCTTGGGGAGCCCCAGGCAGCCCCTGGACTTCTCACAGCCTGGACTGGGGTTGCCTCTGCTCCCAGGATGCTAGTTGTGGTGACTGGGTGCTCACGATGGTCCATAGACCCTAAACAACCTGCCCACATCAGCTTCCTTGCACTCTCCCCCTCATTCTACACCTGCGACCTCAATATGTCCATTTCATTTATTCCCACCTCTGGGCCTTTGCACTCGCTCTTCCCTTCACCTAGAGAGCCCTTACCCCAGATTAAATGTCCCCTTTTCAGTGAGGCTTTCCCAGGCTTGTACCCCACCCTATACACTCTGTCTCATCTTTTCTTCCCATGTTCCTTTCCTTCATTTGAGCTGCCTGTTTGTTCAGTGCTGTATTCCTGGTACCTGGAAGAGTGCCCATGTTTTCAATACATATTCGTTGAATAAACAAATAAATGAATCATGTAAATTTCTAACAGGCAGGTGTAGCTACTTTGGAAAACAGTCTGGCAGTTCCTCAAAAGGTTAAAAAAAAATGGAGCTACTGTGATCCATCCATTGCACTCTTAAGGATACGCCCAAGAGAATTAAAAACACATCCACACAGAAATTTGTACATGAATGTTCACAGCAACATGATTCACAATACTGAAAAAGTGGAAACAACCCAAATGTCTATCAGTTGATTAACAGATAAACAATGTGATCCATCCAATAGAATTTTATTGACCATAAAAGGGAGTAAATTGCTGATTCATGCTATGACGAGGATAAGCCTTGAAAACATTAGGCTCAGCGAAAGACATCAGTCACAAAAGACCACACAGCGTTTGATGCCGTCTATATGAAATGTCCAGAACAGGCAACTGCAGAGAGACAGGAAATAGATTAGTGGTTGCCTGGGGCTGGAGACTCGGTGGGGAGGAGCAATGGGGAGTGACTGCTAATGGGCAAGGGGTTTCTTTTTGGGTGATCAAAATATTCTAAAAATTAGACTGTGGTAAAGGTTGCGTAAGTCTTAAAAAATACTAAAAAGCATGGAATCGTACCCTTTGAATGGGTACTGTCATATGGTATGTGAGTTGAATCTTAATAAGCCTGTTTTCCTAAGAAGCAGCTTGGGGCTGAGGAAGATGAGTCTGCCCTGGAATCTTGACGGATCCAGATTCCACACTTTGCTCTGTTGCTTCATCAGCTGTGTGACTTTCCATTCTCCCTTGCCTCTCTGCTGTGTTAAAAACAGTCTAGGTGAGACTTCCAAGCTAGAGGACAGCGGAAGACCCGCCCTCCAAGCCCCGCCTCTTTGGCTTGATTGACAAGGATGGTGTTGGCATAGAAACTGTCCTTCCTCTCCCAAGGTATTCCAACAGGAATTCCTCCTGTGCATCAAAATAAATGAAATGTTTTGAGGTTTCTTTTGAAAACAGTTCGGAGCTCGTTGGCATCAAGATAAATGCCTTGCTGCCTGGAAATTTTCTAGAAAAACGAAGTATCTTTACTCCAAACTTCATTGTATTCAGTCCAATTCATGCAATCCAGATACACCCCCCCCCACAAGCAACAGATTAGAAGCAGCATTTATGCTATTTGACTTTACATCCTTCATATATTTATCTAAAAGCAGATCCGTTTGCCCCCCAAATTATAAATAGATTTTTCTTAGCAACAAATTTCTCTCAAGCCCTAACTCTCAGTAAAACCAATATCTAGCTGACGTCGTATAATTTCATGCTAGTTTCTTTGCATTCATTTCCGTGCTTCATTTGGAAATTGTTACAGCATGAAACTAGGAAGAGTATCCCAGTATGTAGTCCTAGAAACACAAAACCCACTGAGGGTGGCTTCGACCGCTTTGCTTGGGAAATTAATTTCATTACACAAATGATATGTAAATTCACTTCTTTGTACAAAATTAGAGTCAGGTATGAAGATCACCATACCTCCACCATAGTCTCCAACATCAGCTTACTCCATTTCTTACTAAAACTTTTCCTGCACACATACCCACCCACCCACCCACCCACACACACAGAATCTCCTAGGGCCTCAGGAACAAAGCACCACAAACTGGGTGGCTTAAACGCCAGAAATATATTGTCTCATACTTCTGAGGGCCAGAAGTCCGAGATCAAGGGCTTGGCCAGGACTGGTTCCTTCTGGAAGAATCTGTGCTGTGCTCCCTGCACTTTCGCAGGGGGTCCCTGGCAATCTGCAGCTTCCTTGACTTGTAGAAGCCTCCTGAAATCTCTGCTTTCATGTTCCTGTGATGTTTCCTGGGTGTGTGTGTCCGTGCCCACATTTTCCCTTTTTATAAAGTCACTAGTCATGTTGTCCCAGGGACCAGCCTGCTCCGGGGTGACTCATCTTGACTCAATCTTAACTTGTTCCATCTGCAACGACCCCATCTCCAAATAAGGTCACATTCTGAGGTTCTGGCTAGGACGTCCACCTAGGAATATTGGGGGTACATAATAGAAAGCACAACACGCGTGCACACACGTGCATATGTACAAACATATTCCTCCAAGGGATGTGAGCTCACATCTTGCTTTTGGTGATCACACGCCATCACGCTGTACACATCCACCAGCAAACTCCTCCTGTGGTTTCTTCCTCCCAGTGGCTTTATGTGTGAAGCCCAGAGCAGTGCCTCCTTCCCTCTGCCGCAGGTAACATTTCACAGCGGGACTACAGCACCGCCTGTGTAATGAGCCCACCCGCTCCCAGTGGTCCTTCCCCACGTTACTCTATTGCAGCCCCCGCTTCAAATGTCCCCGACCTGCTGTCTGAGGGCCCCGGACCGCTTTTCTAGGGCAAATAGGGAGATGAAATTGCTAGGGTCTGCTGCCTCCCATTTACATTTTAATAAATTATTTATTTATTTTTATGGGAGGTACTGGGGATTGAACCAAGGACCTCACACTAAGCACACGCGTTCACCACTGAGCTGTAGTCCCATCCCCCCACCCCCAATTTATAGTTTTAATGCTTATTTGCCAACATGGGGTGGTTCAACTTCTCTCCACCCGCCCTCCCCCACCAGGAAGGATCAGGGTGTGGTCGGTGCTCCCAGGAGATCCCAGCCTTTCCTCAGGCTTTTTTACAGAGCGAATTTAATACAGGGGATTGCTTTTCACGGGCATTGAAGGGCTGGGAGGGCAAAAGGGAAACAGAAGTCGCAGCTGCCGTGAGGAAGGGGGTGTGAGGACAGGGGTCTCAGACTGCTGAGGAGGGGGCACCTCCCACTGCTGCTGGACCCTCAAAAGCTCAAGGAGGCAGTGCTGAGCCCCAGCTGTGTGACTTGGGCCACCTATCCAAATTCTCTGTGCCTCAGTTTGCCCCTCTATGAAGTGGGATAATAACCATGTCTACTTTCACAAATTCGTTGGAAAGAGTTAATGGGTTTAATTCACACACAGTGCTTGGGTTGAGACCTGGCGGGTCAGTGCTACAAAGCATTGGCTAGTCTTGTCCATAAGGAATCCGGCCCCTGTTACAGAGGATTTTCTAGAGCAGTTGTTCCAACGCGGGGGTGGGGGCGATTTGGTCTCCCCAGGGGACTGAGGTCTAGAGACATTTTTAGTTGTCATGACTGGAGGCGGGTGTTGTTCCTGGCACCCCCTGGGTGGAGGCCAGAGATGCTGCATTGCCCAGGACAGCACCCACCGCAAAGAGCCATCTGGTGCCAACTGTCAATAATGCCCAGTTAGGGAGGCCCCCTTCTAGGGGGGAGAAGCTCTTCACCTGCCTGATCTCCCTAAGGCCTCGCAGCAACTCTACTTAGTGGTGCTACTCTTGCCTCACTTTACAGAAAAACTGAGGCCCAGTGGCTTGCACGAAACTGCCTGGGTTCTGTCTTAACCGCAGGCACCCCACGGCTACCCTGAGATCTAAGACAACTTTTTCTGAGCCTCAGAACTCTCCTCTCTGCGCCCCTGTCTGTGCCCCCATCCTGACCAGAGCAGAGAGAAAATCAAAGCAAGCACCTTGCCTGGGGCTGGACGGGGGCCACCGGGACATCTGATCTCTGATGTCTAGGGTGGCTGGGGATGTGCTGGGAACATCAAAGTTTGTCCGGATCTCTCCCTACCACAAGCTGGTGTCTGTCTGTAGGTCTGTCCTCCCCTGAGGGCTGAGCATTTATCTCTCCTTCCTGATAGCCCTCCCCCTGGACAGGGCCTTCTTTGATCTTCCAGGCAAATCAGACCCCCCTCTTTTATTCAGGGCACCTAAGCCCTTCACTCGTGTCCCAACCCATGCAGCTGAGGCATAAACTGTCCCCACCCGCACGCCCACCTCTACCTCCACAGGCTTTTTATCTGGCCTTCTCCCCTTCTCAGAACTCTACTGTGGCTCCCCGGTGACCTGAGGGCAAAGTCCCAACTCCTCATCTGCTACTGAGTCACCCTTATTGGTCTGATTCCTCAGCTCTAGCATTGACCATGGCGGGCTCAGAGGGTGAAGCTCTATCTCTGCTTCAGCCTTCAGGATCAGGAACTCCAGCATTGCTCAGCATCAGATGCACTGAGTGAATGAGCTCATGAATGAATGACTGAGTTCATGAATGAATGAATGAATGAATGAAACTTTAATTCACCTCTGGTTAGCTGCAAGCCCTCTGGCAAGGGATATCTGTCTGAGCCTCAGTTTTCTTATCTGTAAAATGGGTGTGAGGTGTTGTGGGATGAAAGGAGGTGAGGAAATAAAAAGCTTACGCTAGTATTTTTCAAAAGTCGTCTTCCATTTCCTACAGAGAAACAGAGAAATCGAAGGGGAGCAAGCCGAGCAGGGAGGACAGGCTTGTGGTTCTTATCTCTCCTTATCACTTTATCTCCTCGGTCTACGCCTAATCTCCTCTCTTCCCCTGCCACGCTATCGCTCTCTCTCCTAGATTCCCCATTCCCCCATGCACACCTGTTTTTCCAGCTCCTTTTTATGAAAGAGTGTGTGTGGCAGTGGGTGGCCAGCTTCAGTGTGGGGGTCTGGGCTGGGCACCCCTTTGGCTGCCTGAGCCTCAGGTTTATAAGTGGGTTTCCTCCTGTTTCCCAATTTCTGCCTGCATTTCTGATTCTCTGCCTATATGTCCACCATTCAATCATTTGACAGATATTTCTTGTGTTCCTCCTAGGTGCCAGGCCTTGCTGGGGACCATGCAGTGACGTAGGGTGGCTCAGTCCCTGCCTTCATGGCGATCATGGTCCACCCATGGACAGATGGGGTGGGGGAGGAGAGCCAATATCAGGGTTGTGATGGGGGCATCCTGGGATACTGTGGAACCTGATGTAACAACTGAGTAGGGAGGAGAGGGTGCTGGAAAGGCTTTACGGCTGAGAATATGAAGAGCTAACACTTAAATCCTTTTAAATGTACATTATACTCATTGTCGAGCTGGGGAGACTGAGGCCCACAAAGTGAAAGGACTTGGGTAAGCTGAAAAAGCTAGGAGGGGGTGGGGCTGGATCTGGATCCCATGACTGGCTCCAGAGTGCAGGTTTTAAACCACTGCTGGAGGAGGCCTGGAGGCCGGGGGAACTTGCACCCAACCCTTGGAGGAACTTGAAACTGCTTGTATGGTGACCCAATCGTGGGAGGGCCGTTGAAGGAGGCTGGGGAAGGGTCCAGAGCACCAGCCTCAGAGTCACATGGCCCTGAGTCACTGTGAGCCCCTGAGCACCCTCTGTCGCCTCTCTGGGCCAGCTTCTTGCAGGTAAAATCGGAGAGACTTGCTCCGCCTCCTGCTAGGCTGGGATGAGAAAAAACACGTGGAGCTCTTGGCACAGTCGGTGCTCATTAAATGCCAGCTGGTGTTACCATTATGATTATCCCCATTATTATCGTTAATAACTAACTAATTAGAACGGATGCGTCCTCTCTGCTTCCGATTGGGTCTCTCTGGGCCGGGAAGTCACCGGACCCCGGGGAGAGGCGAGGTCGGATTCAGGCCTCTCTTCCACCCACTCATGCCCCCAGCCTGCTGCTCAGTCCTCCTCGGTCCACGGCAGGCCTAGTAAACTTTCAGGCAGTCTGAGATGGCGCGGGCCTGGAGGCGGGAGTCTGACTGGGGGCGCCTCTGGCCTTGTCCCCACCTCCGTCGGAGGGGTCCAGCCAACCACTGTGATAACGTGGACACTAGGACCCCGCGGCCGGGTAGGTGCCGGGTGTCGAGGCCGGGTTAACCCTGAGGCCACGCCCTTCTTCGTGGTGATTGGCTCTCGGTCCCTGGCGCGCGGCTCCGATTGGTGGAGATGGCTGCCGCTCCCGGGATTTCCCTTCCCTCCCGGGCCTTAGTCTTGGGTACGCCGGCCGTCAGCTGTAAAAGCGCTCCGTAGGGCAGGCGGGCAAGACGCGGCCGGCGGCGCAGACGGTCCCGGCCGGAGGTCCGGTCTGACGGCGACAGACGGCCGGCCAGAGCCCGGGGCGCCGCCATGGGTCCGGGGCCCCCGGCGGCCGGAGCGGGGGCGCCCCCGCGGCCGCTGTCCCTGGTCGCGCGGCTGAGCTACGCCGTGGGCCACTTCCTCAACGACCTGTGCGCGTCCATGTGGTTCACCTACCTGCTGCTCTACCTGCACTCGGTGCGCGCCTACAGCTCGCGCGGCGCCGGCCTGCTGCTGCTGCTCGGCCAGGTGGCCGACGGGCTGTGCACGCCCCTCGTGGGCTTCGAGGCTGACCGCGCCGCAGGCCGCTGCGCCCGCTTCGGCCCGCGCAAGGCCTGGCACCTGGTCGGTAAGCCCCAGCCCAGCCTCCCCCCATTCGACTGCCTGCCTCAGGGCCTGAGCCTTCCCCTCTACCCGACTGCACAGCCCACGTCTTCCCATCTGGCGGCTTAACTGCTCTGTGCGCTGCCCGTCTGTCCCATGGCTGCTGCCTGACCTGCGGTGCCGCCTCCATCTGAGGGTTCGCTTATACTTTGACTCTCAAGGGCACCCTGAAGTTGGATCTTACTGCCAGCGCCTCCCCTGTCAGTCTGTCTGGTCTGGTTTGACTGAAACCTCCGTCTACAGGGTGACCACCCAGGACAATTCTGTCTGAGTGAGAGTCAGGTTGCCTTAGAGTCCTCGCTGTCTGTCCGTCCCCCAGAGCACTTCATCCATCCCCTGCCCCATACGGGCAACCTGGCCCTTGGTTGCTTTGGGGAGCTGCCCTGGGAGCTGGGTCGGAGGCCAGGTGAGACAGACGGGTCAGGGCTGTGTGCTTGTCTGGCTGATGGGATGGGGCTGTGCCGAGTTGGTAATGGGGTCTCCCTCTGTTCGTTCAGAGGGACTGGCCTGGACTGTTAGTGAGGGGAGGAGGGGAGGAGGTGGGTCCCTCGGGAGCTGGGGCATCCTACACACTGCACACCCGTGATAAGGCCTGGCTCCCAGAGTCCCTTCTCCACCCGCCCAGACCCTGGGCCCTGAGATTAGCCTTGGCCACTTTGCCTGCTGTTCTTTCTCTGGCAGAAGTACTTGCCACATCCTGGCACTTGGGGCTCGCCGGGCATTTCAGGAGGGAGAGCCAGAAATCCTGCCTGCTTCTGGGAATTCTGGGCGGCAGCTTTCTAGAAGCCAGGAGGGCCAGCTGCTGTCTCCTTGCCCTTGGGAACAGTGACTGAGGAGGTGGTGATTTGCCCCTGGCCCTCATGAAAGTACATCTGGTCTCCAAGTTGCCTGAGAGTGAGGCCGGCATTGCTGTGGCTGCGGCTCCACTCAGGGGCTGGATTTCAGGTTTCTTAGGCGCTGAGGATGCCCAGGCTGTCCTTAGTTCACTCTGGACTGTAGCAGCCAGGGAGGGGAGCAGGGGGAGGCAGGTGACTCAGACCCCAGTCAGAGGTATCCCTCTGCGGGCTGACGTTGGGATTGCTTACAGATCAGAGCTCAGAATCTCAAATGTGGTTTTGTTCATGATAGTGGGTAGATTCATTGACATACCACAAAGATAGCTCTGGGGCCAGAGAGATATGAGGGGCTCTTTTCTCTGGGGACGACTGGTGAGACGCCTCTAAGGAGATGGAGCCAGGCATGGCTAGTATCCCTGGCAGTGGACACTGAATGTGCAAAGGCCCTGAGGTGGACCTAGTAACAGCCGGGAGCCTCCAGTCTGTTGTCTTCCCCTTTCCTAGGTGGTGGGCTGAGTTTCCGTGAAGCTTCCACCTGACCCCAGAGGAAGAATCTGAGTCCCCTTGCAGAGGGGGAGGTTAGGAGGGTAGAGGCACCTTTGTCAATAAAGAACTGAAAGTTCTGTATTGATGCAAAACAATCCTGGTGGGTGGGTGCCCCAACCAGACATCTGCCTTGGGCTGAGCACATGGGGAGATCCAGGAAGATCTGTGGGGAGAGGAAGCGCCTTGTGATGGCTGATAAGGTGACTGAGTGAAAGTTACCTCTGCAAAAGTGCCCACTTCTCTATTTTACCCCTGAGTCTGTGGGTAGTGGGGACGGACTCACTCTTTCCCTTAACAAGCCCTTGAGTTTTCCCCTCTAGCCCATAGGGGACCCAGAGAGCCAGATATAGATACTCCTGTCGGGTCCAGGCTGGGCAACTGAGTACACTCGGCTTCATAAAGAAGAAGCAGAGCTCTGGAGGAAGGGACATTAGCTTTGGGGTTTTGAAGGATGAATAGGAGTGTGTGTGGAGAGGGCATTCCAAGTAGTTGAAACAGCTCGTGGAAAGGTGTCAAATCTCATGGCTTTGATGTTGCTGAAGCAGGAAGTGGCTCAGAGTAGTAGGAGCCCCCGATTTCATATATTAACTCTTAATTCTCACACCGATCTTGTGAGGTATTTTCATTATCTCCCTCTTCTGGAAATGGAGGCCCAGAGAGGCAAAGTCACTTGCCCAGAGTCCCCCAGCCAGGCAGCCTCGCCCTGACAATAGTTAACCTGGCCTGGCCAGGGCAGCAGCAGGTTAGAGTCCGGCCAGGGCAGCACATTCTTCTGACTGGAGTCTGCAGTCCCTGCCTGGCCCCAGGGTGGCCTCCAGGCTGCCAGCAATCTGACCAGAGTGCCCCTCCCAGGCACCAGTTCCAGAGAAGCAGCAAGGGGGCGGTGTTTTGTTTCACTTCCCAATCCCAGGACGGTGGGGGCTGGCCTAGGGTCTGGGGAGTGAGGTCACCTCTGGACCCTGATGGGGGCGGAAGGAAGTCCGGCTACCAGGCACAGCACTCTGGGATGGGAGGAGCAGGGTGGAGGTCACTGGGTTTCCTAGTCCAGAAATGGGGATAATAGTAACATTCCTCTCCTTGGGCTGTGAACAGAGGCTGCTGTTACTATTCACTCGTTCAAAAGATCTCTGTGCTGGGTGCCAGGGACACAGAAGTGACTCGGGGAGACCTGTTCTCCACCCCCATGGAGCCTGCAGCCTGGTGGGGGAGGCAGACAAGAAACAGGCAGGCAGGCAGGCAAAAGAATTCCTGTGCATGCTAAGGAGTGTGAAGGAAAGAAAGCAGGGCCCAGACAGTGACAGGGCAGGGAGGGGACTGCTGGTGACTGGGCTGGTCAGGGGGGCTTCTTTGAGGAGGTGGCATTTGAGGTGAGTCCTGAGGGATGAAAAGGAGTGGGCCTTGCTAAGATGTGAGGGGGAAAGCATTCCAGGCAACAGGCACAGCCTGTTCAAAGGCCCTGGGGCAGGGCCATGGCTGGTGTGCTGGAGGAACATCCAGGAGGCCCGTGTGGCTGGAGCAGAGTGAGCCAGGGGGAGACAGGGAGGATGTGAGGGCGGGGCGGGGACGGGGTGGGTGGTGCAGGGCCTCTGGGGCCTCGGGAGCATTGTGCTTGTTCAGAGGTATTAGTGTTCTCCAGAGGGAGAGGCCCCTTTATGAGCTGATGGGGACACTAGGGCTTGGAGAACGCAGGGGCTGGCTCAGCCCCTCCCCGTGTCACCTGGGCCTCCTGACTCCTGGCAGCCTCACAGGATACTTGGTAGAAGCTGGGGAGGAAAGGGCCTCCTCCGCAGCTGGAGCGGGAAGGGGAGGCTGGCGGGCAGGGGGTGTAAGTGGCGGGTCTGCGGTGGGCAGTTCTCCAGGGGAGAGCAGCGCCCTTTCTACCTGCTGTGTCACCAAGGGGGCGAACCCGGGGCATCCTGAGTTGACATGGGGAGGCCTCGTTCCTGCCCCTTCTTGTCTGTCACCTGGCTGTCTGTCCTGGCCTGCCCCCGCTCCTGCCCCTGCGTTGGCTGCAGCATGTGACCTGTGTCTCAATTTCCCCATCACAAAGGGGCACGGAGCCTGGACTGGGAGGCCTGGCCCCTCTGTCCTGTTTGGCTGTGTGGCCTCAGGGGTCCCCTATCTCTGCCATAGTTTTCCCATTTGTCATAGGGGCCATAAGCTTGGGGAGCCCTGGGCTGCTGACCCCTCACTCACTGTGGGACTTGGGGGGGTCTCCAGCCTTTCCTGTGTCTCAGTTTTGTCCCCACTCGCTTGCCCCTGGGGAGCCCTGGGCAGGGAGGAAGGCCATGCGACGTGCCTACCCCGCTTGCTCGTCCACAGGCACCATCTGCGTCCTGCTCTCCTTCCCCTTCATCTTCAGCCCCTGCCTGGGCTGCAGGGCTGCCACGCCTGAGTGGGCTGCCCTCCTCTACTACGGGCCCTTCATTGTGATCTTCCAGTTTGGCTGGGCCGCTACGCAGATTGCCCACCTCAGCCTCATCCCGGAGCTCGTCACCAACGACCACGAGAAGGTGGAGCTCACGGCTCTCAGGTGCCACCTCGGTGGGGCGGAGTGGGGCGGGTGGGCGGGCATGCGCAGAGCAGGCGAGGCCAGGGGATCCAGGCCGCCTTCCGCGTCTGGGCTGTGCTTGGCTGTGCGGCTCCGGGACTCAGCTCCAGCCTGGACATCCGTAGGTTAGTGTATCACTCAGCTGTTGCTGCGTGACCCGTGAGCGCCAGGTGAGCAGCCTCAGTCAGCACACGTTTACCACATCACGGTTCCTGCAGGCCGAGTCTAGCTTAGCTTGATTGGGATCTCTGCTTCAGGTCTGAGGCTGTAGTCATGGTGTTGGCTAGGGCTGGGGTGTCCTCTGAGGCTTGGGGCCCCTCTACCCTGCTCACGTCTTGGTGGCAGTGTTCGTATTCTCACAGATACAGAACTCGTGGTGGCCTGCTGCTTCCTTGAGGCCAGCAGGAGAGTCTCTGATCTCAGGGATGCTGTAAACTTTCTTTCTGAGGGTCACCTGATTAGGCCAGGCCCATCTGGGGTAACCTCCTTCAGTTACATCGGTACATTCTCTTTACCTTTGCCACAGAACGTTACCTAAACATGGGAGTGACATCCCATTATATTCCTGGGTCCCTTCCCCAAAGGAAGAGGGTTAGACAGGGCGGGGCCAGGGCATGGGAATCTCTGAGCCACCTTGGAGTCCTGCCTGCCACACTGGGTACAGCTGGTGCCCAGCTCATGCGCTGCTGACTTGCTTGAGGCGCTAGAGGAGGTGATTCTGGATATGATGCTAGTAGGAGCGTCTGTGGAACCTTTGCTGTGTACGGGGCACAGTCCTGGGCCCTTCATGCAAACTGTCTTCTTTAACCCCTGTGATAAGCCCGAGAGGTTGTCACGTGCCCGGGCCAGGGTTTGGGCAGAGCAGGTCCCTGTGGGGTCTGTGCACTGGGAACAGGGTTCAGGAGATGACAGTTCCAGACAGGAAGGACGTAGCCTTTGAAGGTGGCCGTGCGGCTGCAGCTCGGAACCAGGCCGGGCTCACAGTGGGTGTAAGTGCTGTCATAAGACCCCCGTCTGTCTGCAGCCCAGCGTGACCTCCTCCCCACCCTGCTCAGTTCCCCACTACGGCAGAGAGTTCCAGGCACTAACGGCAGGGGTTGCCCAATGCCTGGGGCCCCCAAGGGCCCCAGCGGAGGAGGACGGACTGGGCCTGGCAGAGGACAAGCTCTGGGAGCTTTCTTTGTACCCACAAGTGCTTTACTGCCTGCCTCGTGTCATCTTCGCCTTGACCTCCGAGGGTGTTCTTGTCCTCACTTTCAGAAAGGTAGACGGAGTCCTGGTTGAGCCCCAGAGGCTCCCTGCCCCAGCCAAGCCCCTAGAGGGACATGGCTCTGGGGCGGTAGGCAGGAGCAATCCCCGGGCGACTCTAGGCCATGGAGCCCTTGTCCTGCTGAAGCCCAGGACCTGGGAATGAGGAACGCCAGAATCCTGGCTTCTGAACATTTTGGGCTCACGCTTCTGAGCTGCAGCCCTGACTCAGCCCTGCTTTGCTGAGTCTGTGCATCCCAGCCCTGGGCCGACGGGACCTCATGGTCCTGGTCAGTGTTTTGGGTCAGAGTGGTAAATCATCAGATAATGTGCAGGCTGGGGAAACTGAGGCCAGCAGAGGCTTCCCAGGGGCCACCCAGTGTGTCGGTGGCTGAAATCACCCGTAGGTCAGAGGTTCCCCTAGACGCCACAAGCAGCTCTGGCTGTGCCGCTGCCTGGGAGGAAGCGGTTGTGTGGTTTCTGGGGTACCCTGCTGAGGCCTTGCCTGCACCCCACCAGGTACGCCTTCACCGTGGTGGCCAACATCACCGTCTATGGCGCTGCTTGGCTTCTGCTCCACCTGCAGGGCTCTACCCACATGGGGTCTGCTCAGGATGTCAGTGACCATCTGGGGGCCCAGGATGTGCCAGTGTTCCGGGTGAGCTGGGCCAGGAGTGGGCCAAAGCACTGCTGGCTGGGCGGGACACCCCAGGGCCCATGGCTTGGGCCGAGTGCCACTGCTGACCCTTTTCCTGCCTGGTCCCCAGAACCTCTCCCTGTTGGTGGTGGGTGTTGGAGCTGTCTTCTCACTACTGTTCCACCTGGGCACCAAGGAGGGGCGCCGGCTGCAGGCGGAGGAGCCAGATGAACACAGCCCCCTGTTGGCCCCTGCTGCTGCCCGGCCCTTGGTACTCTGGAAACACTGGCTTCAGGAGCCAGCCTTTTATCAGGTACGTCATGGGGGGAGAGGAGGCTGGCGTTAGTGCCACCTTCCACCAGGCCCTCACTCTGTGGGACTGTGGACAGGGATGGCAAACATTGGAGCAAGTGTAGCCCCTTCTCCATTCCACACCCAGAGCAGACGTTAATAATCAGTCACTGCTCTCTTCTCCACCTGACCAGCTGGGAAGTCACTACTAATGGATGAGGTGCCAGCTGTAGGGCAGCTCACCTTGGCCCCCAGTGCTCCCCGCTGCGGGAGTGCAAGACTACCCCATCTGACCCCTGAGCTGCCCCTCTGCTCACAGGTGGGCCTGCTGTACATGAGCACGAGGCTCATCGTGAACCTGTCCCAGACGTACATGGCCATGTACCTCACCTACTCCCTCAACCTGCCCAAGGTGAGCCGGGCGGGCAGGCCAGGGCGGCAGGGGTGGGGGGGCCTGGAGCCTGAGGAGCCACGCCTGAAACACCTGTGCCACTCTGCCCCAACAGAGGTTCATCGCCACCATCCCGCTGGTGATGTACCTCAGTGGCTTCTTCTCCTCTTTCCTCATGAAGCCGGTCAACAAGTGTATCGGGAGGAACGTGAGTGGGCGGGGCTTGCAGGCAGGGGGCGGGAAGGAACGTGAGTGGGCGGAACTCAAGGCAGGGGGCGGGGCTTGCCCAACAGAACCTGGGTGAATCCCGACCACCGCCTGCACACCCTGTAGAAGCCCTGGGTCTGGGAACCGACTTGTAGAATCCGGGGCTGCAGAGCTTTCTGTGCTGTCCAGTTCAGTAGCCAGGGGTCCAGCATGGCTGAGGAACTGAATGCTTCATTTGATTTCACTTTAATAGACTTGCGTTGAGATGCAAGCAGCTACCTGTCTCTAGTGGCAGCTGAATCAGACAGTGTAGCCCCTGAACATCCTCTCCACGAGCTCAGCACTGCCAGGAATCCTTTGAGGTTGGAGCCGGGGGCTCCTTAGGGATGACCCAACTCAACCCCCTCATTTGCTGGGGTTGGGGGTGGGTTGAAGACCAGAAAGGGCAAGTGCCAGGCTCAGGGCTGCCCAGCAAGGTGGGCCTGACGCCCAGCTGGGCTCTCCGCAGATGACCTACTTCATGGGCCTCCTGGTGATCCTGGCCTTTGCTGCCTGGGTGGCGCTGGCAGATGTGCTGGGTGTGGCTGTGTATGTGGCGGCCGTGCTGCTGGGTGCGGGCTGTGCCACCATCCTTGTCACATCCCTGTCCATGACGGCTGACCTCATTGGCCCCCACACGGTAGGGCTGCTGGGCAGGGGCGGGTTAGGGTTGGGGACCAGGGCTGGGGCCGGGGGTGCTGACCCTCTGCCCATGTCCCCCAGCATAGTGGAGCCTTCGTGTACGGCGCCATGAGCTTCTCGGACAAGGTGGCCAATGGGCTGGCAGTCATGGCCATCCAGAGCTTACACCCTTGCACGTGAGTGCCACCCACCCGATTGTGCATTTAACGAGGTATACTGAGTGTGTGCTGTGCACTGGGTGCCGCCCCAGTTCTGGGGATTCTGTGAGGACAGAAGGCCCTGCCTTGGTGGCTTCAAAGCCGGGGAGACCTGGTTGTTCCCCACCTTGGGCATCCATTCATCCACTCTGCAGTCTGTCCTGTGCCGGGTGCTGAGGACACAGCTCACAGATGGAGTGGGGGATGTGAGTGGGCAGGGCAGCAGGAGCGCTGGGAACCGCTGTAACTCAGACCTTTAAAACACAAGGTTCCGGCCTCAGGTGGTTCTAGACCCAGGTGTATGCCCTACAGAAGCCCAGGATTTGAGAATGAGAGCGGACCCAGTCCTCTGTCCTCATGGAGCTGGCGGCAGCAGTAGCATTAGTCACCACCTGAATCAGCGTGTGATCCAGACCAGTGGCGGGGGGGGTGAAGGATGCCACTTACAGAAGCCTGACCTGGGCAAGAGGTCAGGGAGGGCTTCCTTGAGGAGGTGACATTGGACCTGAGACTGGAGAATGTCAGGGAGTTCTAGGCAAATGGGAGGAAGAGCACATGCAAAAGCCTTGCTCTGGGCAGGACTGTGCCTGGCATGTTGGAGGAACAAGGAAGCCCGTGTGGCAAGGGGGAGGGAGGGAGGAGGTGAGGGCAGGGAGGGGACGGGGCATGTTATACAGGGCTTTGTGGGCTGAGGGGAGGACATGAGCTTTTACCCCAGGGAAGTGGGAGCTGTGGGTAGGGCAGGGCCTGGCTCAGGTGCTCACTGGCACCCCCTGGTGGCCCCTGCAGGGAGGGCCGCCTGGGGGAGGTGATGGCAAGAAGTTGGGGGAGGGTACTGGGGGCAGTCCCGGTGGGTGGGGATGGGGCTGGACCAGGTGGGGGCTCAGGAGGGAGGAGTAGTGGGCAGTCTGAGACTCTGAAGGCAGAGCTGACATCATCAGCTGAAGTCTCATGTTGGAGGGGAGAAGAGGGTTGAGGGTGATCCCTCTGGTCCTGGCCTGAGTGTGGGGACGACGGGGACGACGGGGACGACGGGGACGACGGGGCTGCCCCATTGGAGACGGGAGGAGTGGGGAGCCCAGGCTGGTGTCTGCTCACCCTCTTCCGCCCTTGCTCTGCCCCTAGCTCAGACCTCTGCTGCAGGGCCTGCGTGGACTTCTACCACTGGGTGATGGTGGCCGTGACGGGTGGCGTGGGTGTGGCCGCCACCCTCGCTCTGTGCAGTCTCCTCATCTGGCCCATCCGCCTTCGGCACTGTGAGTTGCAGGCCCCTCTTCCTCCTAAGAGCCCCAAGCCAGCCACGGGTGGTAGGTCTGGGACAGGACAGGCCCCACCCTGGCTAACCCCCCTCCCACCGTCTTCTCTTGCAGGGGACCCTGGAGCCCAGCCCTGACACCGCCTCATAGTCCCTTGCCCTATATTAATTAACCACAACTGTGACTGTCCTCCTGTTCCTCTGTTCCCATCCTGCATCTGTCCTGCCGGCTGCAGGGGGTTGGTGGGTGAGGTCAGGATGGGTGGGTACCGAGCTAGGCCCTCTGGTACCCAGGGGCTGGTGGGGCCCCCCAGTCCCCACTCTAATCCCTCCCAGCTGCTTGGATGGTTTGGGGTGCTCTGTGTTGTGGAGGGACTGGATGTGAAGGTCCCAGGTCCAGGGGCTGTGCCAGGCTCACCCCTGGGCTGGCTAGGGTCTCCCGGGTGCTGCCAGGCCCTGGAGGACGGTGTTGGCACTGAGCCTGCCAGGAGCCCCAGCCCCGGGGTTGGGGGACTGGGCCCAGACCCCAGCCGTGGCGGCAGCGGGGATCAGCGTGCAGGGCTTAGGCCACCACCAACAGTGAATAAAGAGCTGCCCCTGGCGAGGACTGTGGCCTCGGCTGTTAGCCTGGGCCGGGCTTGGGGAGCCGATGCCGGGAGAGGGCAGCTGGCGTCTGCCTGCCTCTGCCCTGGGGCTTGGCCCCCAGGGTCCTGGTTGGTAGTTGCCTTTATCCCTGCAGAGCCGCTTTGGGCAGCAAGATCTTTATCAGCGAGTGGGCGCGTAGACGGGCGGAGGCCGGTTGGTGGAGGGGCAGTAGGGTTCCAGGTCCCACTGCCGGTAGTTCTGGGTGGTGAAGCACGGGCGCTGGGGCGCTGACAGGTGCGGCACATAGTCAGACGCCCGCCACGGTGGCTCCACCCCAAATCGGTGCCTGTTGATCACTGTGGGGCCAGGACCTGGGTCACTGCCTGGCCCCAGCACAGGAGGCCTTCTTCCTGCCCCATCCCCTGGGTCTCAGGACCCAAGCCCCAGCCTCACCGTACTCCTTGCCCCAGATGGGTCTGTCTTTCCACAGCATGCTCCCCCACCGTGTGCTGGGGTCCCGGTACTGGGCGGGGATGATGGGGTCATACCAGGCGGTCTCCCGGAGACGCTGGGTGTAGGCTGCAGGGTGAGCGGGGAGGTCATCTCTGCATCTCTAGCCCTCACCCTCCCCTCAAGGCTGGCCTGAGGTCGGGCAGACAGGGCCGGGCACTCACCCGAGGGCATGCTCCGCTCCCGGTGGCCATAGCATCCATGCCAGCGGGCATAAGCCTCACGGTACGGGCTGTCCAGAGCCCGCGGGAGCGTGTACCAGGCTTCTCGGGAGTCCGAGTTGGTTAGGCTGGTGTACCACAGGCGGCCAGCCGCATCGCGTCCCATGGGCGTGTACTTCCAGCGCGCCGCCTGCTGGATGGCCGGTGTCCAGCGGGGCCCCTCCTGGGACAGGTAGTCATCGCTAAGGGCCGGGGTGAGGGAGGAGACAGGCTGAGCTGGCGATCCCCCGCCACCACCACCCGGGGCCTCTTCATCCTCTTTGCTGCATGTTGCCAGCATGGAGGGTGCAGTCCTGGCCCATGGTGCCGGGCCCTCCTCCATCCCCACGGGGCCACGTCTGTCGTTCAGTACCAGACTCCCCCACTCCAGGCTGGTGGAGGTTGACCCCTCGTGGCCCTCTCCTCTCTGCCACATCCTCCTCAATCCCCAGGATCTTCCTAACCTTCCACCTTTTCAGCTTTCCTTGAATCTACGAAGTCCTGCCCAGCCTCCCAGACCTGTAGGCCCTTTCATCCAGGAAGCCCCCTGGCCTGGGAGGTGTCCCAGGAGGAAGTGGTCTCAGCTATATGGCTGAGTGAGGGGCCCAGGTCTCACTGTCCCTGGTCTGGCCTGGGAGCCATGGGTTGGGTATACAGGGATGGTGTGCGGGTGCCCAGGCTCCAGGAAGACCTTCGGGGAACCCTTGTGCCATCACCATCCACCCAGTCTCTGCAGCCAGCTGAGAGTGAAAACAAGCTCACGTTTAGAGGAGGAACTATGCAGCTACACGAGTGCCTGCTACAGGGGGCCTGTGGTCCTAGAGCCTCTCCTAGACTGAGAGCATCAGGACGGCCTTCCTGAGGAAATGGCAGTGATGTGAGGCAGGAGTGGCATGTGCAAAGGCCCTGGGGTGGGAGGAGGCAGGGAATGGTTTGTGGAACAGAGGCTAGCAGTGCAGAATGTGTAGTGGAAATACGCTAATGATGGCAAAAACCAAACCTTAGTAAGGTGCCATTAAAACTGAAAAGATCCTTCTGGACCTGAAAGACAAAGACGGGCATGTCCTTTGGCCTGGTGAGCTCGCTCCTGGGAATCCCCTCCGGGAATGGGGCGCGGATGCTCCCAGCAAGGACTGTTGACAAACGCTCTCCCCTGTGCTGGCTTAAGAGTTCTCACTCCCCATGGAAAACCAGAACCCAAGACTCGTAAAAGGTGGGACCATCCCAGTCGGCTGTGGGACATCAGTCTTGGGAATCTGCCGCAGACTGTGTTTGCCACGCGCAGGGCAGGAGCTTCAGGACCAGCAGGCAGGGCCTTCTGAGCTAAAAATGAACTTAAACTACAGAATGTGCTGCACATGATTTGTAAAAAGGAATTAAAACAGTCTAAAATAACAATGATAAGTGAGTCACTGTGTCACTTACTCCTCCAAAAACAAGGAACGCGTTACAGCTGGGGAAGAAAACCCCTCCCGAAGTGTGCACCGTGCCAGCGCACCTTCCACTACAGCGTGGAACCTGTTTGTTTCAGTCACGGCCGCACACCTGCTTTTTGACTTTCTCGGAAATGAAGCAGCACCAAGGGTGCTCACTCTTTTTCTAAAGCTGCACAATAACGCTTATAAACACTTATTAATGGGCTGAAAGTGTCCCACCAAATTCATGTCCACCCGGAATCTCAGAACATGACCTTATTTGGAAATTGGGTCTTAGCAGACTTAAGGTGGAGTCTTGTGGGGTCAGGTGGCCCTGATGCAACGGCTGGTGTCCCGGTAGGGACGGGGGGATCTGGACAGTTGGGAGATGGTCATGTGACAACCGAGGCCACGATGGGTTGATGCTTTTATAAGCCAAGGGACGCCACAGACTGTGAGCAGTCCCCAGAAGCTGGGAGGGACACGGGACAGGTACTCCCTCATGGCCTCAGAAGGCCTCAGCCTTGCTGACTGGTCTTGGTCTGGGACTTGTGGCCTCCAGAGCTGGGAGGGGGTGAATTCTGTGCTCAAAGCTGCCCCACTGTGGGTATGGTTCCAGCAGAGCAGGGCTCACGGGACCTATTACCGGCTCTCTTGGCTGTGTGCGCACGCGTGTTGTGTGTGTGACCTGTGTGCACTCCTGCAGGGGCCCAAGCCTGGTACGGCTGAGTGGGGAGGTGTGCAGGGGGGCAGCCAGGTTTGGATGAGAGAGTGCCCCTGTGAGAATGAATGATGCTGGCGGAAAGCAAACCCGGAGACAGTGGAGGGGCAGGGCGGGCACTCACCTGTACAGAGGTGCTGGGAAGTCCACTTCCAGGGTCCCCTGGGGGACGTAGGGCCGGGCAGCCTCCCGCCTCAGAGTCTGCATGTCTGCCTCTGGGTGCCAGGGGGCTCCTGCCTCCAAGGCCCGTGGAGCCATTGTTGACAGCTACAAAGGTGGCTCTGGCGTCCTGGCAACGGCTCAGCCAGCTGGCCCCCATCCAGGCCACTCCCCCAGCTGAGGGGCCAGGACCCAAGGGCAGAGGCTGGAGGAAGGAGGCGGGCACGCACTGGGTGGGGCCGTGGCCTTGAGCCCCTGCCTTCCCACCCCTCCTCTGCCTCCTGAACCAAATGAATCTTCTGAATTTCCCTCCTGCACCCCGAGTTCCACCCTTCAGGGTGCTCAGGTGCCCGTGCAGCCCTTAGCCCCTCTCTTGTCCCCACCCCACCCCATCCCATCCAATCCATCCTTTGGTCCCAGAACACATCCAGAGTGAGAATCCGCACACACACGTTTTCAGCAGCAATACCCACAACAGCCAAAGGGTGGACACAACCCAAATGCCCACCAACTGCAGGATGGACACAGAGCACAGGGTCTACCCACATGCTGGAGTACTATTCAGGCAAGAAAAGGAGTGACGCTCCAACGTGACATGGATGGACCCTGAGAACACGATGCTCAGTGAGAGAACCAGACACACAAGGCCACAGCGTGATTCCGTTTATGTGAAACGTCCAGAATAGGCCAATCCAGAGACAGAGGGGCGGTTCCTGCTTGTCAGAGTTGGGTGGGGGGTGGGGGTGCCTGCTATTGAGGACAGGGCTTCTTTTATGGTGATGGAATGTTCCGGAATTAGTAATGATGGCGGCACAACATAGTACATAACAACAAAGCGCTCCGCTGTACTCTTCACTATGTTACGCGTGTTTTACCACACACACACAAATTAAGGAGAAATCCAGAAGCTGCCCGTCTTTCAGCACTTCCACCGCTCCTGGCCGTGGTCACGTCACTGCCTCCCCGGTCTCTCTGTGCCCCCGCCCACCTGTTTTCAAGCCTCCACAGAGCAACCTCACCCCTTCCCACGTCAGCACACATCAAAGGCTCCCCCTCACTGGGGTACAGGCCTATGTCCTCCCTGGGGCCCACAAGGCCCTGTATGACCTGCCCTGCCCCTTCCCCTCTCTCCCCCTCGCTCACTCTGCTCCAGCCACACAGGCCTCCTCACTGTTTCTCTAACATGCCAGCGACTGTCCTGCCCCAGGACCTTTGCACAGGCTGTGCCCACTGCCTGGAGCACCCCCTCTGCCTGGAGCATGCCCTCTGCCCAGGCATGTCTGTGCTCAAACGTCCTTCAAGCTCTTGCTCAAAAGTCAGGTTCATAGCAAGCCCTGGATTCAAAGCTGCTGCTTCCCAAGACCTCACACCACCCATCACCCAGTGACAGCCACGTGCTCTTAACAACCTACCGTCTCCCTCACACCACAACAGAAGCTCCTAAGGGGTACGTCTTGGGTCTGGCCTCTCTCATCCCCTGTGCCCAGGACAGGGGTCTTCACTGGGAGGGAAGGGCCTGGGGTGTGCCATCAGTCATGGGCAGCTGCTCGCTGCAGGGGCCACCTCTGTTCTCAAGACCCCTGGGCCTACTGGCCCACCCAGTGTTGCAAACCCCTCTGGCCTGGGCTGGTTTTCCTCTGGCCCCCAGAACCTCCTGTTCCCCACCTTCTCTGTTCCTTGCAGCCCACTTGGTCCCCACTTCCTTCAGGGAAGCCCCTGCATCTTCCTCGCCTCACTGCTGCACAGGCCCCACTCACCTTTGGCTGTCACTGTCACTAACTCCCTTTCTCCTCTATCAACCCAGGATCAATGGAAACAAATCCTGCCCAACCACACCCAGCTGTCCCCAAGTGCAGGACACAGGGCTGGCAACGTTCCCGCTGGCCTTGGGGCCCCATCTGTCAGGCAGAGGCGGCAGCAGCAGCACCCACGCTGCCCCACCAGCCCGGGCCCACCCTCCTCCTTTCAGCGGGAGCAGCATGGGCCCCTCTTCCCGCAGCAGGGCTGCAAGGACTGGTGTGACTCATGGGACCAAGAGTACAGGGACACTGGCGCCCCATGCTGACCAGCCGCCTGTGAGTGGCCCCCACACCCTCACGTTCAGGATGCTCTGGGGTCCCCATATGTGCAGATTCAAGCTATCAGCCCGACAGACAGGCAGCCCCAGCCGTGCATGACCCACATGGTTTAATGGCTGCGACACTGCATTCCAGGAGGAGCAAGGCTCACCCGCACCAGGTGCCTGCACATTGCCCGCTCCCGCACTCGGCCCTGCCACCGCGCCCGCTGACAACACTTTTCATCGTTTCAAGCCCCCTCTGTGCTCCCAGGCGAGGAGCCTACAAGCAGAGCCAGGGTGGGGTGCAGTACAGACATAATCCTTTTCTTATTAAAAAAAAAAAAACCAAAACTCAAACAAAAATAGAATCTCGACCATCCGGAATACTTACACATCTATGTACACTGTCCCTTGCCATGCCCCTCCCCCGCCACGCAGGCAGGTGGGATGGGCATCTGTGTACACTGCCCCTCGCCCACCCCCACGCAGGCAGCTGCGGGATGGGCGGGGAGGCGGGAGCCCCCTCTTCCCCGAGTTCAGGCAGGTTCAGCCCACTGCCCCTCCCAATGATAGGGCTTTAAAAGCTGTGACCTCCACTCCCAAAGGAGCTGGGACGAGCCACTGCTCCCTGCCGCTAGCCTTAACATCTGAGGACTGATTTACAAAAACACAAAGACAAATCCAAAGAAAGTCACAAATACATATATACACATGCACACGTGTGGCTGACTCTGGGGGAGCACAAGGTTCTCAGACCCTGGAGGAGTGGGGGCTCCAAGCAGAGCCGGCATGACCGGGGGACTCTGTGGCCTTCCCTGGGCCATGCTGGATCCCCACCCCGCCCAGGCCTATTCCACTGTCCACTTCCATCAGTGTCCTCTGACCCGAGGAGGGGAGAGGGAGGGAGGGGAGGAGGGGAAGAGCAGCTGCCCAGGGCCCTGGCCCCGCCTCCCTCCCTCTGTTTCCGCCAGGTCTGGAGGTGAATCTGGAGGAGGGTGGGCCCAGGTGCAGTCAGGAACAGGGCAGAGGACACCCAGGGTCAGGGGAAGCCCTGAGGAGAACCAGCGGGTGCCCCGCCCCTGGCTGAAGGTGCAGATGGACAGGAGCCACTAGGGTGGCCCGGAGGGGGAGGGGCTGGGGAAGAGTGCCAGGTGTCCACAGGACCTGGCCCTCGGGGTCAGTTCTGCCCTCAGGTTACCCTGACCGGCCGCCCAGCAAGCTGCAAGAACCAGTCGGTTGTGACTGTCAGTGACAAGGACAGCTCAGGAGGGGTGAGCACATGATGGCGAACAGATCTGACTTCCATTTTCCTTGGACAAGTCCATCTTGAGATGACCTTCGGCATGCAGCCTGCCTGGGGCCTGCTCCCGACGCCGTGCCCCCGGAGAAGTCACCAGGATGGCTGCCAGGGCAGGGACACGCAGAGGTGGCTGCAGAGAAACCTCTCAAGTGGAATGTCCCTTTGATCCATGGGCAGGTCTGAGCTGTCCCCGGACACCCAGCTGTCTGTCCTGGAGCAGGTACGCGCGGTGGGGAGCGCGCGCTTCCGGGAAGAGCATGCAGCCCCAGCAAGGCAGTGACAGACACAGATGGAAGCAGGCGGAGTCCCAGGAGACGTCCATCCCGTGTCCATCCGCTCGGAGCACAGGAGCACAGCCGGCTGAGCCGGGGCCACCCAGGGCGGAGGGAGCCGGAGTCCCCATTCCTGGGGTGCCCGACCGCAGCCCCTCCCCAAACACCGGCTGACAGAGTTCGCAATCAGGCTTTAATAGAATCTTCGGGGTCTCTCCAGGCCCGGCTCCCGCCCCACCCCGGCTGCCTTCCTCTGGGGCCTGTATGCAGGGGAGGGGAGGGTCCATGCACGCTGACAAGAGGTGGTGTTCTGAGACCAGGACAGCACGGCCACGGGTTTACCGGATCCTGGTGAAGAGGTTGAGGACAGACACGGATTCCTGCAGGGCACACAGGAGCGACGGCTGAGCCTTCAGCCCCCAGTGGCCTCCCGCAAGCGCTGGCAGCTGGGCTCGGCCGTTGGGTCGGGCACCAGCCGCTTCATCGTGGGAAGGAAATTCTGCCTGGAGGGACCCCGAGGTTTCGGGCCAGAGGAGGGCCTGTGTGGGCATCTTCTGCAGAGCCCTGGGACACGGCACCAGGCAACGCAGGAGCTGAAAGAGGGCCTGATGGGGGGCCCAGGGAGAGCCCTGGGGACATTACGGCTGAGGGGGTGACGGGGGCTGGTCGAGTGGCAGAGGAGGCCCCTGGGACAGTACGAGGGGACGCGCGTGGGGGAACATCTGGCACTGATACCGACCCACTTTACCTTTGTTGAACGGGTTTTGCTAAAGACATTCCAGAATCTCAGGGTTTCATCTCCAGCACCAGTGACTATGGCCTCTCCATCAGGGGACATGGCCTGTGGGAGGAGGAGGCGCCCTGTGTCCTCATGCCCTGCAGGAGGCCCCACAGACAGTGCTGGCAGCAGCGGCAGCGGGAGCCAGGCTGCTTCCAGGCGGGCAGCAGAGGCCCCTGCACCCCGGCGGAGCACTGTGGGCAGAGCAGCCCTGTGCAAACACCTTTAAAGGACACCACAACTCACTTGAGGAGGGACAACTGGGCAAAGGTTCTACCGGTTTAAACACAAGACATTTTTTTCTAGAAAGAAGCAAAAAATCGAAGAGTGAATGTGTTTCGGGGGAGGGGCTCCGTCCTCTCTCCAGGCACTCGCAGATGGTTATCCGGTGAAACCTCTCCAGGTGCTGAGTGGCTGGATACGGTTTATTTGCGGCGGCTTCTAATTTTGTGTGAAACCAAAAACGTGGATGTTGTGCAGGGGGCAGAACTACAGAACCGCCCTTCCTCAGGGAAGCTAGTGGAAGAGATTCAGTGATGATGCCACATCTGCCTTCAGTCCCAACCCAAAACCTGGACCAGATGGAGCATCAGGGCCAGGGGAAGGGTGTGTGCACGCCACCTGCTCAGGTGGCGCTCGGGTGGGCACAGCACTTCCTCCCGAGCCCGGCCGTGCAGACTCACCAGGTACAGGACCCTGTAGGAGTGCCCGGTCAGCTTGGCCACCTGGGTCAGGGACGGGTACTTCCAGACCAGGATCTGGTTCTGCGAGTAGCCATGCGTGCTCACCTAGGGGGCGGAGAGGGCACTTCTAGAGCCTGAGGCTCCCTTCCATGGCCCCAGGACTCAGACTCCCAGATGCATCTATCAAGGAACAAGGATACTAGGGCCTGCCTGGCAGGGTGCAAAAACCACAGGTGACAGTCCGCACCCCAGCACTCTGGTGGATGAATGGATGGAGACAGGGAAACAGTGTGGGCCTCTCCGAGTGGTCACCGGGCATGGGCACCTGGATCAGGTTCTGTGAGACCAGTGTGGCAGGGGCCTGGCCTCCTGCCCTGCCAGCTCCAGCCTGCACGCCCTGACCGCCCCGGCCTCACCCCCGCACTCACCAGCTCGTTGGCGTGCTTGGACCAGGCCAGGTTGCAAACCTGGGAGCCGGTGTCAATGCACTGCAGTGGCTGCCCCGTGAGTGTGTTCCAGAAGCGGATGCAGCGGTCAGCTGTGCCGCCGCCGGATGCCAGCAACCCGTGCTGGTGTGGGGACCAGGCGATGGCCTTCACGGCCGCCAGGTGCTCCGTGTACTGCTGCACGGGGCTCAGGCTCGAGTGGTTCCAGACCAGCAGCTGTGGGGACAGTGGCCATGAGGACTGGGGTAGCTCGGCTCCCACAGGAAAGAAGAGCCCACCCCAGTCCTCCATGGGTGCACCCTCATCGACCCTGTTCCAGAGGGGGGAGCTGGCCGGGTGGGAGGGGCCGGCCTACCTTGTTGTCGTTGCCCCCCGAGGCGAGGAGCTGGTGGTCCGTGGACCACTTGAGCCCGCACACCTCCTGCCGGTGGCCCTGCAGCCGCCGCTCTGACTGCAGGGGCGGTGTGCGGATGTCCCTCTGCAGGATCATGCGGTCCCGGCTCCCGGATGAGAGCTGGTCGGCGTTCCAGGCCAGCGCCCCTGTGGCCGGCAGAGGGCGGGCTAAGGACGGGGCCCGGCCTTTCGGGGACCCAACCGCCCCCGGCCCCAGGCAGCTCCTCACCGACGCGTGCTGTGTGGCCTTCCAGCATGGACAGCTTCTTTCCTGCGGCTGCGTCCCAGATCTGCACGAAGCCCTTGTGTGTGCCCACGGCCACCAGGTTCCCCTAGGACCGACAATGCAGGCGAGAGCGGGCATCAGGGACTGGGCAAGGGTGGGCCTACGGCAAGGGTGGCCCCAGGCACCCCCGCTCCCCCTCCCCGTGGCAGAACCTTAAGCCCATTTCCTTAAAAGTCTCTAATGTGTGCCCCTTCAGACACTCCTCCTAAGAGCTTTCTGGGAGGATGGTCACAAAGCACATGGGTTTGTCAAAATCCATCCAATACGCACTGAGATCCACATGCTTCAATGTGTGGAGTGAGCCTGCCTGCCTGACCTGGTGTCTATCACTCTAACCAACTCTACCAGGCTGGGGACAGGTAGGGGCACAGACGTCACCCTGGGGCTTGGACAGGTGACCTCCAGGCTGGATTCTGGCTCCTCTGGGTCTCCGAGGCCCCACAACACTGTGGAGGGCCCCTGCCAGTGAGGTCAGTCAGACCTCCCCTTGCCAACCCTGCCCTGTGGGGGGATGGGGCTGGTGTACTGACCCGCTCAGACCAGCCCACAGAGGTCACCGAGTCTCCTTCCACAGAGAGGTCACAGAGCCGGGTCACCTGGGGGAAGGAGGAGCAGTCTGGATGAGCTGACGTGGTGTCCCTGGTCCTTTAAGGCCCAGACCATCCATTTGTCCATCCGTCTATCCTTTCACCCATTCATTCATTCATTCATTCACACCCCTGGCCCATGGGCACTGGCTTCAGTGCTGCGACCCAAGAGAATGTGGCTGGGGGCTCGGCAGGCCATAGGCTGGGAAGAGACACATACCAGCAGAGGGACACTGACTGCACACAGCCTAAAGGGATGCTGGGGGACGCTTGGGTGACGAGGGCATCGTGCCCAGAGGGTCCTTCCAGCAGGTGTCAGCCATAGGCTGCTCGAGTGTGCATGCACCAGCCTCCCTGTGGGGGCTTCATCACTTTCTTTAAACTTACTTCATTTGGGTTGGTCCCTAGGGTGGGGTCTTTGTGCCCTACAGACCCTGAGCCCATGTGTGCCCAGCAGCCACTCTGAGGGACACTGCACTGAGGCCCTCTTCTTCTGATGGGGGCAGTGGCTGTAGCTCAGGCCGCAGAGCAAGGACTCCTGTATCCTAGAAGCCAGCCTATGGCAGGGAGGCACACAGGCTCACACCTGTGGACGGGTCCTGAGGTGGTCTGCACACTGAGGGTGTAGGGCAGGGAGGAGGGGAGTGGCTGGGAGCTGCCCCAGGCTCTGGAGGCTCTGCCCCAGTAACACTCACGCCCTTCATACAGGCCCCTGCCCGGCTCAGTGGCCAAAGGAAGGCACTGTGCCGTCCGCAGCATGCACACACGCGCGGTGGCACCCACCTGGCTGGTGCAGGCGCTCCACAGGTACACGCAGGTCCCCAGCCCCACACTGAGCACATTGAGAGACGACCAGTCCACCAGGTTCAGGTAGAAGTCATCCTGCAGCTCGGGCGCGTCCAGGACCTTGAAGGGGATCTTGGAGATCTTGCGGGTGGGTTTCCGCGGTGACCGCAGTAACTTCTGACTGCAGGGAAAGCCCGAGGTGGGGATTTTGCACAGATGTCAGTGACCTACAGCGCCTGCACAGAGCTCTCTCTTTTCCGCAGCCCTGGAGCCCATCAGCCGCACCTGCTTACATCACCCTCTGTCTGCTGCCTATGTGATCCCAAACCTGCAGGTGACCCCACAGCCACCGCCACCGCCCCACTGGGTTTCAGCTGCTCTGAGCTCTGACAAGCCCGCCTGCCCATCTGCCCCGCACCTCCTCCAGGAGCCCTCCTTGACTCCCATCACTCGTCTGGGCTCGTGGGGTGTCCCCAGTGAGGGTGGTCCTCTAGGCCAGCCCTGAGCCCTGTGCACAGCCCCAGCACTGATGGCAGCTCCCAGGCACTGCCCAGCTGTCCAGGCCCACCTGGGTCTGGACTCACCTTTTGTTGCTGACGGGGGACAGGGAGTAGGGGGACACGTCATTGCCGTCCTCGGGGCTGGAGCGCTTGGTGCTGAGGGAATACTGGGGGCGGGGCACACCCGCTGAGCGGACGCCAAGGCCCAGGGCCTTTGTGCCCTGCACCCCTGGCAGGATTGTCCAGGGCGCAGAGAAGCAAGCCAGGCCTTGCACTTGAGCCATCCTCCTACCTCTCCTGCCCCGTCCAGCCCCAGCCCCTCAACCATCTCTTTAGGGACCCAAGCCAAGTGTTCTGATGCTGCCCCAGGGCCCCACGCTTGGGACAGCTGAGAGGCGGTCTGTGGGGGCGGCTCATGCTGAGGCCCCGCCCCTTCACCCTGCGCGTGGCATCTGCCCCAGGTCACCTTTGTCCCGTAGGTGTGCAGGAGGCCGACAGGTAAGAGGTAAGGGGCCTGGAATCTCAGGCTGGGGAGTCTGAGACTGGAGGCCGGGAGCAGCCAGGGGCTCACCGTGAAGAGGCCCTTCCTCTCGGGCGTGGAGGGCTGCAGTCTGCGGTCCTCCGTCTGTGGGTCCTGCACCTTTTCGATTCCAGCACCGAGCAGTTCATTCTTCAGCAGAGCTGAGTAGGCCAGGCCATCTGTGGGCACCAAGCTCCGTGAGGCAGGGATGGGGGGGAGGGGACCAGGAAGGGGTTGGGCAGCGCCTGACTCCTGACCTTTCCCGTTGTCTGAGGTGGCGTCCTTGGCTTTCCGGTTTTGGCTGGGAGATTTCTCATTTTCCTGTGGGAGAGGGAGGTGAAAGAGGGAAGGATGAGCTGGAAGGACCCGGCCCCCGCCCCCAGACCACACAGTCAGTGGTCCTTCTCCCGCCTAGGGTGACCCTCACGTTGATTCTGTGGAAATTCACGCTCCAGTTGGCACCAGCTCTCGAGGGGATGAAGCGGTCTCCGTGCTTGCTGGGGGAGGACACGGGGGAGTTGGCTGGTGTCAGGGTTCGTCGCATCTCCGCCACCTGGAAGGACAGCAGGGTGGACTGGGTGCCTCAAGCCCCCAGAGCACACCAAGACCAACCAACACCCTCTTCTCCCTGCTCACTCCGCCTCCTTGCACTTGGCCTCTGGCCACTGAACGAGGGTTTGGTCTTGGAAACCCGAGGGCAGAGGTAAGACATTTCAGTAGTAACCCACGTGCCGGAACCCTGCTGGCGGAGCACGTCTGGTGCGGGGAGAGCCCGGACAGCGAGAGCCCAAATGTGGACGCACCGCAATGAGCCTTGATCTGTTTCCAAGCGGTTGCAAATGGACAGGAAAGTTGATAGAACCGAACAAAGAGCATCCACTCCCTAACACCGAGAGACTGTAGCTCCCATCACCCCATTTCCTGCACACAAGGACAGTTCTCCCCTGGACCACAACTCCATCACTGGAACCAGGAATGGGAACAGGCACATCACCTCCAGCGAACCCTCTGACCCCACTCGACTGTCCCAGGAATGTCCTTTCTCCTATAAGGGATCTGCTGTGGGTTGAACTGTGTCCTCCAAAAGGATATGCTGAAATCCCAACTCCTGGTACTTGGGATGAGACCTTAATTGGAAATAGGGTCTTTGCAGGTGTCATCATGTTAAGACCAGGTTATACTGGAGCCGGGTGGCCCTAAATCTAACGCCTGATGTCCTCAGGAGAGACAGGGACTGGCACACAGAGAGAAGGGGACATGAAGATGAGGCAGAGACTGGAGGGGTAGGTGTGTGAGCCGAGGCCTGCTGGCAACACGTGAAGCTGGAAGAGGCGGGAAGGAGCCTGTCCTGGACAGCCCAGTGCAGAGCTGAGAGCGCCGAGAGCCGGCGGGCACAGCCTGCAATGTGCCGGGAGCCCACAACGGAGAAGCCCCACATGGCTGAGGGGGTGGGGGTACAGGAAAGAGAAAATAGGGCTCCCCAAATTCTACCAGGTTTCAGGAGCTGGAGACAGGGCCACCCTGTGCCACCGTCACTCCTATGCCTGGTCCCCTATGAGAACAAGGGCCCCACAAGAACGGGGGTCCGTGCCGTGGCTCCAGCAGCAGAGGGAAGCGCACAAAGGTGCTGGGGGGCTCACCCCGGTGTGGCCGTGCTGCTGCCGTGGGGACCACCTGTCTCTCTCCTTTAGGTACCTCTGCTCTCCGAGGGCCAAAGCTCAGCAGCTGACCACACCCGCACCGTGGGCTCCATCGGGGAGCGGCAGGGCGGGACCTGGGTACTCACGCACGGCATTGTGTTCTCATTCTGGATGACGATCTGCCGGAGGAGGCGCCGCTCATAGTCCTGGTCCATGGCGAGGCAGGGCAGGCACGGCCCGCCAGCCCTGGTCAGCTGGCCCACGTCAGCCTGGGCAGGGAGGGCAGGAGAGGTCAGCACCAGCAGTCAGTGGCCCCCGTCGCCTGGTGACTACAGGGCACGCCTCTGGGACAGCCAAGTCTCCCTGTTGTGCGGGGGGCCTTCCCTCCCAGGAGCCCTGAGGGACGTGACGGGGACAAATGGGATCCTCTCTGGCTGCTCCATGGGAACCTTCTACCAGGCCCCCACACCTCTGTCCTGGTTAGAGCCAGCGTCCCACCTACCCGTGGCCCCCAGGGGCTCACCCGAGGCCACCTCCTCCACCCACGTGGGCCCCGATCTGGTCACCTTCCTGCTTCAGACCCCCTGATCTCACTCCTTAGCAGCTCAGGAGCTGTGAGGGGCAGTCCTGGTTGCCTCCCCTGAGCATGGGCTCTGTGTCCTGGACCCATAATCCTCAGCCCACATGCTCCTGAGTATGCATGAGTGGGAAGAGGGTCAGGTCCTGCATCTCCCTCCGCAGGGGTTTGCAGAGCTGACTGTGCCCAGCACCATGGCTCCAGGGCCAGGCCTGACGTGGTGGGGGGACGTCGGCCTCCAGCGGACAGACACACGCTCACACCCAGCTCCCATCGAGCTCACCCCGACCTGGGAAGGCCCCTCTGAGGAAGAGTGAGAGTGTGGCAGCAGGGGCTGTGCAGCGGAGACAAGCAGATGCCTCAGAGAGCAGGGTGCCCTCTCCGGGGGAAACTGCAGTCCAGGGACACCCAGGCCCTGGGCAGGCCCGGGCGCTCACACAGTCTGCCCCTCTCAGGAGGCGCCTGCCAGCCCTGCCTCCCGCCAAGGGGGAGATGCTGAGATTTGGGGGGGGGTCCGGTGCAGGTAGGGCCAGGCCAGTCCAGCCCTGAGCCTCTGGGCCAGTGCCCAGCTCAACGACAGACCAAATACCAAGACGTCAAAAGCTGAAGGCTGGCCAGAAATTAAGCTGACGAATACGAATCCCTAGGTGTGCCACCCAGTGAGTTCACTACCTGCCTTTTAACCTCAACAAACTTAAGAGGATAGAAATTATTTCAAGCATCTTTTCTGATTACAATGCCATGAAACTAGAAATCAACCACAGAAAAAGAAAAAAAAAGATGGTATGGAGATAAACAATATGTTACTAAAACCAATGCGTCAATGATGAAATCAAAGAAGAAATTAAAAAATACCTTAAGACAAATGACAATGGAAACACAACCACAAAAAATCTGTGGGAAGCAGCAAAAGCAGTCCTAGAAAGGAAAGTCACAGCCCTACAGGACTTCCTCAAAACACAACAATCTCAAAAAACCCACCTAACCTACCACTTAAAAGAATTAAAAAAATAAGAACAAGCAAAACCTAAAGTCACCAGAAGGAAAGAAATAAGAAAGATCAGGGAGGAAACAAATAAAATAGAGACTTAAAAAACAGAAAAAGTCAGTCATACCAAGGGCTGGTTTTTGAAAGAGACAACAAAGTTGACCAACCTCTGGCCAGGCTCACTGAGAAGAGAAGAGAGAGGGCACAATAAACGAAGTAAGAGCGAAAGGGAAGAAGTCGCAGCTGACACCACAGACACACACAAACCTGTAAGAGAGCACCTCCGACAGCCGCACGCCAGCAAGCTGGGGGGCCTGGGAGACAGGCAGGCTGCCCGAGACATGCAGTCCCCCAGGACGAATTCAGAAGTAGATCGTCTGAACAGACCAGTCACCAGGATCAGAGCCTGTAATTCAAAGCGAAACGAACTTCCTGCACTCAGGACCCGACGGCTCCACTGGGGAATTCTACCGAACGTGCAGAGAACTCAAGCCGATCAGCAGGCTGCTGCAGAGACTGAAGAGGTGGGAACACGCCCAAAGTCGTCTGAGAAGCTACCGTCACCCTGACACCAAAACCAGACGGAGACACTATCAAAGGGAAAAATCCAGGCCAGTATCTTTGATGAACACAGATGCAAAAATTCACAACAAAATATTAGCAAACTTAATTTAACAACACACAAAAAAGATCGTTATACTACGACCAAGCTGGATTTATCCCAGGGTCACAAGGATGGTCCAATGGATGCAATCGATGCGATACACACATCAACAAAGGAAAGGACAAAATCGCACGATCGTCTCAATAGATGCAGAAAAAGCATTTGATGAAACTCAACATCTATTCACGATAAAAATTCTTACCAAAGTGGGTACAGAGAACACACCTCAACATAATAAAAGCCACATATGGAGGGAGGGTATAGCTCTGTGGTAGAGCATGTGCTTAGCATGCACAAGGTCCTGGGTTCAATCCCCAGTACCTCCACTAGAAAATAAAGTTAAAATTAAAAAAATAAATTAAAAATACATAAAGAAACCTAATTACCTCCCACCACCAAACAAACAAACAAAAAACAAAAACAGTAAAAGCTATATATGACCAGCCCACAGCCAACAAAATACTCAACAGTGAAGAGTCGAAAGCCTTTCTGCTAAAATCTGGAACAAGACAAGGATGCCAGCTCTCACCACTTTTATTCAACATAGTATTGGAAATCCTAGCCATAGCAATTAGACAAGAAAAAGAAACAAAAGGGATCCCAATTGGAAGAGAAGATGTAAAATTGTCACTATATGCAGAAGACATGAGACTATATATAAAAAAAACCCTAAAGATGCCACAAAAAAGTACTAGAGCTGATTAAAGAATTCAGCAAGGTAGCAGGATACAAGATTAACACACAGAACACTACTGCATTTCTTTACACTAACAACAAAATATCAGAGAAGTAAAGTAAAAAAAAAAATCCCTTTTAAAATCACATCAAAAAAATTAAATACTTCAAAATAAACCTGACCAAGGAGGTAAAAGACATATATTGAGAACCACACAACACTGATAAAGGAAACTGAAGATGATTTAAAGAAATGGGAGGATATCCCATGCTCTGGATTGGAAATACTAATATTGTTAAAATGGTCGTACTACTCAAAGCAATTCATAGATTTAATGCAATCCCTACTGAATTACCCATGGGTTTTCACAAAACTAGAACAAATAATCCTAAAGTTAATATGAAATCACAAAAAAACCAGAATTGCCAAAGCAATACTGAAGAAAAAGAAAGAAACTGGAGGCATAACCCTCCCAGACTTCAGACAATACTACAAAGATACAGTAATCAGACAGCAATGCATCGGCACAAAAAGACACATGGCTCAGTGGGACAGAACAGAGAGTCACGAAATAAACCCACACACCTATGGTCAATTAATCTTCGACAAAGGAGACAAAATATACAGTGGAGAAAAGACAGGCTCTTCAACAAGTGGTGTTGGGAAAGCTGGACAGCACGTGTAAATCAATGAGGTTAAAAACTCCCTCACACCATACACAAAAACAAGCTCAAAATGGCTTAAAGACTTAAACCTATGACAGGACACTATAAACTTGGAAGAAAACATAAGCAAAAAAAAAAAAAAAAAGAGCAAAACATTCTGACGCAAATCACAGCAATGTTCTCCTAGGTCAGTCTACTGAGGCAGTAGAAACAAAAGAAATATAAATAAACGGGACCTAAATAAACTTCTAAGCATTTGCACAGCAAAGCAAACTATAAGCAAAATGAAAAGACAACCTACAGACTGGAAGGAAATATGTGCGAATGATGCCACTGACAAGGGCTTAATTTCCATTATATACAAGCAGCTCACACGTCTTAATAAGCAAACCAAACAAAGAACAACCCAATCCAAAAATGGGCAGAAGACCTCAACAGACATTTCTCCAATGAAGACGACGGCCAACAGGAACATGAACAGGCGCTCAGTATCACTAATTATCAGAGAAATGCAAATCAAAACTACGAGGTATCACCTCACACCAGCCAGAATGACCATCATTAAAAAGTCCACAAACGATAAATGCTGGAGAGGGTGTGGAGAAAAGGGAGCCCTCCTACACTGCTGGTAGGACTGTAACTTGGTGCAGCCACTACGGAGAACAGTATGGAGGTTCCTTAAAAAACTAAAAATGGATTTACCATATGATCCAGCAATCCTACTCCTGGGCATAGATCAGGAGAAATCTCTAATTCAAAAAGATAATGCACTCCACTGTCCACAACAGCACTATTTACAGTAGCCAAGACAGGGAAACAACCTAAATGCCCATCGACAGATGACTGGATAAAGAAGCTGTGGTGTATACATCTATACCTATACCACATATACACACACACACAGTGGGATACTACTCGGCCATACAAAAGAATGACATAATGCCACTTGCAGCAACAGAAATGGACCTGGAGATTATCATATGAAGTGAAGTAAATCAGACAAAGACAAACATCATATAGTATCACTTATATGGGAAATCTAAAAAAAAATGACACAAATGAACTTATTTGCAAAACAGAAAGAGACTCACAGACATAGAAAACAAACACTGGTACCAAAGGGGAAAGGAGGTGGGGGATAAACTAGGAGTTTGGGATTTGCAGATAGTAACTACTATATATAAGACAGATAAACAACAAGGTCCCACTGTATAGCACAGGAAACTGTATTCAATGTCTTCTAACCACCTACAATGGAAAATATATATGTATAACTGAATCACTATGCTTTACACCAGAAACTAACACAACATTGTAAATCAATTATACTTCAATTAAAAAAACACACACTTGCCTTTAAAAAAGATTATAGTAAAATACACGTAACATAAAATTCACCGTCTTAATCATTTCTAAATGCACAGCTCAGCAGCATTAAGTACATTCACATTGTTGTGCAACCATCCCCACCACCATCTCCAAAACTTTCTCACCTTCCCAACTGAAACTCTATTCCCATGAAACACTCACTCCCTACTCTCCTTGCCCCTGCTAGGTCCTCAAGAAATCAAACTGCCGGTGACCCAGCACCCCTACTTTGAGATAAACATCCAGAAGCAAGAAAACAGATCTACACAGAAGCCAGTACTCAAATGCTCTTACCGGAAGTATTCACAAAAGCCAAAAAGAAAAACAACCC